ACTTGATGAGAATTTCTTTAGCATGCAAACCTATCAAATAAAATTCTAGCAAGCTAAGCAACTTAACTCATGATTCAATTGTAGCAAGTATAGGGTTCGAACACAAGGAAGACTAGGATTTAGAGTACCAAACCATGGAGTATTTATGCTAAGCTAAAGCATAAGTAGAAGTTGGATTGTGTGTACTAACTACTAAGCTAAATCAAAATGTAATAATGAGACAAGTAAGCAAAGACTGGATTTTAATGTAATGATATGGATGAGTATTGAGCAACGGGTTAGCAACTAATAAGGAGCAATAAATCGCGGCTAATAAAGCTTAGGACTTTAGGTTAAAAGCTCAGTCCTTAAGCATGGAACACTAAATCAAATTAGTCCACTTTGGTGGCACTAATTACTTTGTTGAGTACCTAGATCTAACTAACTTTTTGTGCTAGATTTAGGTACTCTCCAAGCATAAATTATCAAATCCAATAAGCTCACTTAGCGCTTTGACATCAACTTTCGTGGCCAAAGATTCCTAAGCCAAACAAAAGGTCATTCAAGCATTCCCACAAACACCTTTCGAGCAGGAGAACGCCTATCAACAAGGTTCAAGAAACGAGTCAAGAACCTATCTTTAAGCTCAACCTAAGCTTGAGAATACGTAATGGATGAGCCGAATCGATGTTAGCTACTTTCTAAAGCCCCTAAATCTACTAACCCGCAACTCAATAAAGAGACTACTCACTCATGGCTACGGAACAAGCCATGACCGAGCTAGAGTGATGTGTGATACGTAAATGCATAAACAAAGACGATTTAAGAGTAAAGATTGAAACTTTAAAGGAAATATTTAAACTTTATAAAGCTAAGTACTTAGAACATCAAGAGATTAATGCTCTAAGGAGTGATTACAACTAAAACGTAAAAGGAAAGCTTCTAAAATTGTTGCGAGTGAAGAACTTAGGTTTTTCAGGGGCTAAGAACATATTTATAGCCCCTCATAATAGTATCCGGGTCAATCCAAATTGAACCGGATCATCCGGCAGAAGTCAACGGTCGACCCAGAAAAAGTCAACAAAATACGAGAATGATCGGTCACTCCTACATCAGGGAAATGACCGATATCCAGTGTTGTTCCAGTGGTTCATCCAGCCGTAGTGTCATGGTCGTGTCGCAGTCTTGTTCTTTGTTAGGGGATGTCGGTGTTCTTCATCGGCTTGTGTCAATTTCAGGGGATATCGGTGTCTTCTATATCAAGTTCAGCCGGTATACCGCGCCTGATCCAACGGTTGGAGAGTCTTGATTCTCTATCGTGACAACGGGATAACCTGGGATATCGGTGTGCTAGTTTTCAGTGGGAACCGATAACCTGATTCTTGACCCAAGTCACGAACTTCAATGTGTCTGATGAGACTCCATCCTCCCAATGTTCCAGGTGTGGATATCGGTCATATCCGGTATGCGATGACTGATATCTGCTCCTGTGCTTCCATCTTCAAGCCTTTAAACCCATTTTTGTCCCTACTTCCATTCTTCTGCACTCCTCCTCAATCTTCAAGGCTGTTGATAGCCAGATAACTTCATTTTAGCACAGATACCACTTGAAAAAGGGTAAAAGAAGAAGAATATGTACAAACACTAACCTATAACTCTAAGATGCAAATCTAAGCTAAACTAAGGCTAAAAGAGTTCTAAATGTAGCAGAATGATGCAGAATGCGAGATAAAGGTATTCAAATATGTACATAGAAAGTGTAAAGATATGAATATATCAAAACTCGGTGCGGCCCGAGTTTTGGGCTATTGATCTTGTGTTCATCCGCTTTTTCAATG